ACATTTCTAGGTGACAGAGTCATCGACACTGTTACATTGCCAAAAAAAAGTTGAGGTTAGGACTTTATAACTGCTTAAGTTTGATTGTGTTTTATTGTTTTAATTGAAGCTGTGTATGGTGATACGGGGCGTATACGTCACATACACAACTACAGGTATTTGAGCACGGGTTATTATTTTGACCTTTTCAGCATATCTTTTTTAAGTTTTCATTTAAATACAACTTCGCCATGAAATATTGTTCTTTATGAAAAACTCAAGATAATGCACTGTCTAAGATAAGTGTGCCACCATTTTCGAACAAAAACACGTTTTTGTCGAAAAATTTAACAACTCGTGAGATTTGCTTATATACTTCCCTCAGTAAAAATATGAAAGTGCAGACAAGTGAGGAACTTAATTTTCTTTTAAATCTTCTGAATGCGTATATCGCTAGCTTGAGTGAAAAGTTGCTAAGTCCACTTTGTATGAAAATTCATATTTTGATACAGGAGGCTGGAGAAATTCTCGTTTTTATTCAATGAAAGGAAAATTTGCGAAGTCCAAAAGAGGCACCGAAAATCCGATAAGTCCAAAATAGTACAAAATCTTTTAATAAAGATCCAGCCAAAATGTTTATTCAAAGTTTTGCGAAATACTTGAAGAAAATGGCTATAAGAAGTTTTTTCAGCTCCTATAAAATTACAAAAATGAGACTTAGTAACTTTTCACGCTAAGCTAGAGATATGCAATTTTGCAATGCAATTATTCACGAAACAATTAATGGTGTGAATCTGTCATTTTGTTTTTTTTATTGCCTGCAAATTCGTGATCGGCGAACCCCTAAACCACCCGATGCCAGATTACATGAAAATTTAACAAAAAGCGTATTTTTACTGTTTTCCCGGCCCAAGTAAAAAATTTAAAAATGCGTATTTCAAGGGTTTTGATGGACAATTTCCGGGAGAAAGGCTCTTTTTACAATAGGGAACAATTAATCAAGGTACTCCATAGGAATGATTTTCGTGAAAATTTTTTTTGACTAGCTAACTTGTTCAAGACGACACACTGTGCACACTGAGAGAATAACCTCATCGGCAGTTATAATTTTTTACAAAAAGAGATCGTTTTAGCAGCATAACGCAAATATCTGCACGCGCCTTCCACAATGAACTTCTTTAAGTGCATGCGGAATCCAAACATCAAGCTTTCTTGATTTCTTACGTTTCTTCAGTTGAAAGTGAACACTTCTTTTTACTGATTTTCAATATTTCTGCAACCTGTGCTGTCTTTGTGGCAATGTATGTATATAATTTCCTAAGTAGTAAAGCAACATTTCTCAACTAGAATCCCCCCAACCCGTTTCAGACCTACCCAATTACCGCTTCACAATTTATTCCGCTCGAAACTTTGCACAAAATTGAATATAATTAACTTAAAAATATCTCATTAACAGATACAAACAAATGAATAATAACATAGACAATTAAGAATAGTTTACTACAACATACCGAAATAAGATAAGAATAACAACAAAAAAAAACAAAGATAATAATAAAATATGACAAGTGATAAAAGCAACTATTAAGCAATAATATTGCACCAAAGCAGAAAATAGCGAAACTGCGATGGAAAAGTAGAGCGAAACACTTAAAATTTAAATTCTATGGCGAGCGGCGAGTTCTACTTTTAACTAAAACGCTTGGCGTTGATATGTGAAAACGAATGAGTTTCGGAGCAGGCAGCGTTTAAAGCCAATGTCAACAGTGAGGGTAAACATTAGTTTCTTAACAACAAAGAATCAGCAGTAAAAAACGCTGAAAGTGATAATAGCAGTAGTGAGCGAAAATAGCAACAACAACCGGCGCAGCAGCAGCAGCAATAATATTTAATTAACAACCGGCGCAGCGTCGACAACATCAGCAACAACAATGGTTAAAGACAGACTGCCTGAGCTGCTACAGGTAAGTACTTAAGTTACAAATGCTCCACAATCTATGTAATCATAAGATATTGTATTGGAGCTCCATAAGTACATACCATACATATGCGGAGCTATCAGAGAGTATGTGCCCACTTAGATAACGCAGCGTATGTGAGCGTGTGTGTGTTTTAAAGTTGTAGGTGTACATTTAATTACCCTGCAGGAAACGGGGCTAGATTGTAGCTAACTTTTAACCCATCAAGCTGTAGCACCCATCAATCTATTAGCTGTAGCTTTTTATGTAGGTATTAATTATTTCCTTCGGCCGTAGCCAGGGATTTTTTTCGGGCGGAGTTCTGACAAAATATTTTTTTATTTTCACTTTTATTTCAACATAGATTTATTAAAAGAAAAATACTAATAAAAATAAAATATTTCACAGAAACAGGGTTGAAATTTTTAAATTCCTGACCGTAGTTGTTTGTAAGTCAAATATTATTGGTATTGTGCTACAGTCGTCGAAAAAATTATAGCCGCACCAAATTTTGACAAGTACTAAAATATTATTTTGGTGGCCAGAACACCTACAACCCCCTCCCTCCCCCTCTAAATACGGCCTTGGCCGTAACTAACTACTTTTGAAGAGCGATGGCCGCAAACAAAGTGTAACTAACTAGTTTTGGACATAAAATATCAATAAAAAACGATTTTTTTCAATTGTTATATGTTGTTTTGTAGGTGGTCCCACATTTAAATTCCGTCAGACATAACATCAAAATTATAATACAAAATTTCGATATTTATTTTATTTGTCCTGAATTCGAAAAAGCATCTGTGAAGTACAGAAAAAAAGCGCATTTATAATAATTTTTATATGAGGATATTTAAACAAAAACTTGGATGATTTTAAAACTCACTTAAAGTTAGTATTGTCATAGCTAAATAAAAGTCAATTATTTATCGAAATCCCTCAAAAAAAGCTAACTATAGTAGGTAATTTTTTATCAATTTATAATTTTTTTCCTGCAGGGTTACTTACTCAAGTTTATGAGTTTGTGTGTGCTTATGAGCGTATGATTTGCAACAAGGGTAGAAACGCGCGTGCTAAAGTGAAAAAAGAAACGAAAAAAACGACACAGAGTCAGAACTGCCCCGAGAGCGCGCCGATAGCAAGCCTCTAGCACGGAGTGTATCTAGTAAGCTCGCAAGCGGTAAAAGTTATGGCTAACAGCAGTGTGTGACGGCAGTGGTAGAAGAAAATCGCTTAGATTTGGCAGCACCATAGCTGAGGCTGGCGCGATATAATTTGGGTGTTTTGTTTTTGGTTTTTTGAGTTCAAAGATTCGATAAACAAAAAAAAAATTGAAAACAATCAGCTGCTGCCTACTTATTTATAACCGTTAAGCCATTGCTGAATGTGGCAAGCCATCAGCTGATCATAGGCGGAAGTGGAAAGTAAAAGGCTGTGGTTAGTGTGTGTGAGTGCTTGTGGGTGAGTGTAACGATAAATGGTGTTGTGTGATTTGAATTGACTGAAAAATCATAGGGGTTTTTACTCTAAGCTTTTGCTAAGAAATATTAAATTTTTTAATTCAAACTCTTTTTTTACACCCACCGCAGCGCTCAGGCAGCGTGCTCTCCACTGTCTCGGCATCGAATGGTGCGGCATTGTTTCAGCGCTCTAGCAACATCGAACTCAAATTAGCAGAGATGAGTGCACCCATGGACGCAATACTCAATCCGGTAAATAAATTTGAATATAAATTCTTAATTAAATACATTTTTACTAAAGAAACATATAATTTAAATCGAAAACGATAACTTGCATACATATGAATAAGCGCGATCGCTTAAAAGCGGCCGCAATAACAAAGAAATCTATGTACGCGATTTTGAAGACAGCCAGTTAACCTGAAGTTTACTTATTGATAGACGCTATCAAGTATACTTAAGCTGACAAATATGCATACATTTATAAAGACATATTTACGAGTCTATATTTGCTTACTTATATACGCGCAAGTAAATCTTTTTTCCTATACATATTTGCATACACTTGAGAGTTCAATAGTCGCCCGCCCGCCCAGCATGGCCGAAGTTTTCATTTAAAACGCATTTTTTTTTAATTATCTTTATTACATTTTCCATAATCAACTTCTATTTTTCTTTTAATGGGCTTTAAAACGCTAAGCTTTCGAAGTTTTTTTTACAACTTTGACCACATTTTCGCGCTTTAGTTGCTGCGCCTTGTGCTCATCGAGCGCAAAAGAAATACGTTTGTTCTAAAATTGTACAATTAGTACTGATTTTCGTGTAATATTCTTAAATAATGTTTGTCTATTTGCATATTCACTTAACGGATGTACTATAACAAGTATTATCATTATAAGCGGCTAGACACGTAATATACGACCCTTTTTTGCGTTCACAATCACACCTGAGGCTGAGTGTTGTTGCCCTCTCGCGCGAAATTAGTGCTTATCAGTTGCCGCTAAGCAGCCTTGAGAGCGTTATATGTAGATAAATTGCGCTCTACTTGGAGTCATACATACGTACATACATAAGTATTGTGCAAGTATCTGGGCAAATTCGTATGTGAGAACTATTTAACCCACTGAAAGTTTTATTACTTAGGTTTGGAGATTTTGAAGAAAAGACAAGTGACATACATATTTACTGATCAGTTTTGACAATTTTTTTTTTCAATTAATTTTAATAATTTTTTTTTATAAAAACGGTTTAACGTCATGCTATCAGATGTTACAGCTGCACCTTAACCTGTTATATCGAATGCCATAGACAGCATAAATGAAAATTTTGATTTACATACATACATATGTACAAAAATTTTGGGAAATGTGGTAACCTCCTTTCAAAATTCTTTGAAAATAATTCGCGGTAAATATGTAAGATACACAGATGTAGTATTTCAATTAACTAAGTTTGACTTGACATTTAAAAAAATAGTAACCCTTTTCAAAAATAATTTAGAGGAACAGCCTTTTTAACCTCTTTCGTTTGGCAGCCGTATTGTAATTTCTAATTTAAACTTTCATTAATTGGAGACAGCTTGAATCTCTATCTTCAATAGCATTTCAGAAATAGTACTTACTTGAATCCCTCTCGTTTGACATCGATATTCAAACATTGGATTCAACTTGTCAATTAAATTGATTTTGAATTACCAAAAGGCAACCCTGTTCAAATGTACTCCCAAAATAGAGCCTTTTAAATATCTAACCTTTGATACCCATACTAAAATATTTCTTCAACTTATTAATTAAATAGTTTCTGAATTTCGAAACAGGTGGCAAGCCTTCTTAAAGCATTTTCGATTGATAACTATGTATATTAAAAGGCTTCTGTTAACTTATTAATTAAATTGATTTTACCTTTTTGATCAGGTGGAAACCTCTTAAAATATTTTTTAGAAAAACAAGTATTTTTGACATTTATATTAAAATATTCCATTTAATTTAAGTGACTTCAAATTTCTGAACATATGGCAATGCTCTTAGAAAATATTTTCGAAATTAATCTTTCTAAATTCATTTTGAATTTCTAAACAGGTGGCAGCTCTCTTGATATATATGCATGGAATAAAGCTTTCTGAAACCTGTTGTCGTTTGATACCCATATTAAAATATTTGACTTAACTTTCCTTGAACGTTTTGAATCGTCATTGAAGCCTTTTCCTTTGACACTCACGTTATTGTAATACATATTTTATTTACCTTTTTAATTAATTGATTTTAACTTATGAAACAGGTGGCAACTCGCGCTAAAGAATATCGTTTATGTTAAATCGGGCCGTAACCTCCAGCCATTTAAACGTGAAGGAGTAACGATAGAATTTTTCAAACTTACGTTGCCATTTTGATACAATTGTATCATTTTTAATACTTTTTTTCTAAATTTTAAGTTTTGATACTTTGATACTTTTTTGTTCACAAATACCCCATTTTGATACGTTTGGCATGTAGAAATTAATTTTGAAAACTATGCATAATATTACTAGTTTTAAGGCAAATTTTCTTGTTATTTAAAGTCTTAAAATTGTATATGTAGATATTAAAAAGTTTGATTTGTAACTCTTATAAGGGAAATACA